CCGAGGAAGGAACATTGTTTTCGGGCGTGGTCAGGTATAAGCTTGGACAACAACTCTAAGCTTGCTCCTTTAAGCTCTGCAATTTTAACCAAAGCATACACACTTAACTTAGTCTTTTAAAAGTAAGATTGGAAAACAAATATTACATGAATTTGGAGGAGACAGACCTTGAGGTTTAAAGTTGAAGAGAGGAGGCAAGGGACGGCCATTAGGTAGGCGTGTGTTGGGATCGCGTAGCTCATCGAAGAACGGGTGAACGATTGCCTCCATCTACAATCACAAAGTATTGAATAGTTTGAATCAACCAAACGGAATGTTATTATATTGATGTGAAACAGTAAATTTTTCGTGGACTTACAGCGGTTGATCTGAGGTTTGGAGAATACTGGAGAAGTCTTGAGACGAGGTCTACAGCTTCTGGAGGTGTACGCTTATGGAAAATCTTAGGAACCAAACAACATATTTTTCAATCAGCAAAGGCAATCATATAAATAATATGGACAATGTTGAGAGACTGATGATAAATTTACTTACTTTGTGCCAAGGATGAGCCTTTATTTGTGGGAATTTGAATTCAGTGTAGTTTGGATTCATACATTTGATTTCCTCTCGAGTTGGTGTTCCGAGAACCTGTTGTACACAATCAAAAACGGAAAAAAAAAACTGAGCAATGATTCATGAGTCATGACCTAGTTCATGCTCAATAATAACAATAACAAAATTATGGGTGCTGAATCTGAGTTTTAGTTTGAACAAGTTGAAGTACCTTGATAATCTCGACTAGCTGGTCAACTCCACTCTCACCTGGAAATAGAGGCTACCAAAAAGTTGGACCAGCCAAAGATTGGTAAAACAAAACTTTAGATATCATTTCGGCGATTCACATCATAACAGGTGGATAAGCGGAAATTCAGGACAGTGAAACTACCTGTCCAAGGAGCAATTCAGCAAGAACACAGCCTGCAGACCATATGTCAATTGCTGTTGTATATTCTGTGGCTCCAAATATAAGTTCAGGTGCTCGATAGTAACGGGAGCAGATATATGAGATGTTTGGTTCGCCTTTCACCTGTTACAGAGTGGCAAAAGCTAAAAAGGTTACTTCAGTTTACATCATTCTCCTATCAACTAAGGCAAACCACCAAAACATGTGCCTCTTTTTTCATATGAAAGCTAAATCAAGATATCTCTAATTCATAATAGATGATATACCAGAACTTTTGCGCTGCCAAAATCACAGAGCTTGACTTGATGTGTATGAGGATTGACCTACGAGAAGCACAAGATTAATTAAGCAGCAGCATGTAGACCATATAAAAGTTTTGACCAACATGAAACTTAGGACACGAACCAGAAGATTCTGTGGTTTTATGTCTCTATGGCAGACTCCTACTCCTCCGTGAATGTATGCCAAAGCTCTGCAAATCTGCATCCACAACATGAAGGCACAGATAATATTAAGATAATTGAATGATGAGAACAGATACTTCATGGGATGAACAGAAAATTACCTGATATGTATAGAGTTTAACATATATCATGGGCATCCTCTGATTTGCCCGACTGTAGTGCTTTGAGACGCGATAGACAGTCTCAGGAACATATTCAAGGACCAAATTGAGATACAATTCATCTTTCTCAGTCGTTGAGAAAAAGCAATGCTTGAGGGACACAACATTAGGGTGATCAAGAAGCCGCATCGTCTGCAGCTCACGGTTCTTGTATCTTTTGTCTTGCAAAACTTTCTTGATTGCAACAGTTTCCCCCGTTTCCAAACACTTGGCCTGCATATATACAAATAACAAGATCAGAAAACTTATCTACATTGAGTCTATGCACCAGCCATAAACTTAATTAACTCAAGTATGCAGGAAATGTAATCGAAACACCACCTGAAAGACAATTCCAAATGAACCTTGTCCAACGATGCGCTCTGCCATGTAACTTATGGTCTGCAAGGGCAAAAAAGAATGAGTTATCAGAGATATAACAACACATTAGATACTGCAGCAATATGCAAATTATCCAGTTTTAATGCACAAGATTTAGACATTGTGCCACTAATGTATACAAAGAAAACATGGATATTCCTGGAAACATAATGTTAGATAAGCTAACCTGTTTAGGCTGACCATTTTTACCACCAATAGTTGTAACAATAATGTGACCTGTTTCAGTTCCATTCCCATCAACAACAGCTGCTTCCATTTCCTACAAAAATTTGCAGCAACCAGCAAAAATAAAAAGAAGAAAAACACATTAGTAACAGAATTAGAAAGTCACAGGCGGCCAAATCTGCCCAAGTTTTATAATTGAATCTGAGTTCTTCAACCTTATCATCTTTTATCTTCATATCATTAATCCCTTCAGGTAGTTTCTCGGCGCACATGGAAGCATTGTTCTGTTTTGTAGTTGTAGCCATAGAAGAAGGTAACGTTCCCACAGAAGCCATATTCAACAACTTGATTCTTTAACCTGTTAAGGCCAAAACCACAAATGAAACATATGTTTCGATTAAATCCTTTTCACACAACCAAAAACTGGAGCAATATGAGCAAGCACAGAGACAGTGAAGAAGATCTAAAAGTAAGAACTAACCAAAAACCTAGCTACATTTAACTCCGATCCAGTTTAACATAGATTTATGCAAAATCATATACAAAAGAACAGTTACCTACAAAACTAAACGTTTCCTTGTATAATCTCTCGTCGTCAAGCTAAAACAAGTGAACAACACACACAAAAGAGGAATCCGCCGGCTCCGTCGTACCTGAATGTTCTCCGCCGAGATTTCACTTCACCATCTTGAGTAGACAAGCAACTTAGAAACCCTAGAAAGCTTATCCTTGACGAGAATGGCAAA